GTTCTATACTGATAAGTGATGCCTTCATTTGCAGCTCTTAATCTGCAAGAAACTGTAGCTTCTGTTTTTCATCCAATCAAGTCATATCATGCTCGATCGCCCGTATATCAACCTTCAATCATCGGTAAATTCTAGTTAATTTCATTTTTATAAATTTTAAAGTGGGATCTTAACAATAAATCACGATCAATTTATCATTTTCGATTTTATTCTTTTTTTTTTTTCAAATGTTGTAGCTTCCGATCCATTGAAATCACATATATCGAGCAATGCTCACGCACCTTTGAGTCCATATCATAGCCATTCGGCCACAAAAAGTGTACATAAATCTAAGTCTTCATCATCCGTCTCGAGTTCGAGTCATCATTATAGAAGCAAAGGTAAGTTTTAGAAAATCTTTTTGTTTCCTTACTTGTAACATTTTTCACTAGAAATTAATGAGTTGAATCCTTTCACTACAGAATAAAAATTGTAATCCAAACCGTAAATTTGTTTGCAGTGACTTTTCTTACTCTTATTTACGTGCAGGTCCGATTATTGCCCCATCACCATTTTCGCGCCCTTTATCAAGAGATCGGATTCGAAAAGGGCATTTACCACTGCCTGCAATTCCACACAATCACTTAAACGGTAAATGTTCGAAAGGGACTTTTCGACTCGTCTAATTTATTACATTATACAAATTATAAAACTATTTTGTATTTTTCAAACTTTGCAGGATGCGAATCTTTATCATGCACCGAGCCGCTAACTTACGCACCACCCGGTGAATTATGCGGTTGCGTTTGGCCGATCAAAGTCAAACTCCGTTTTAGTCTCTCCGTTGACAAATTTTTCTCATTAGTCCCCGAGCTTGCTCGTGAAATTGCAAACGGGGTCCCTTTGAGTCGAGATCAAGTTCGTATTGCCGGGGCAGATGTCGCTGATCAAGAGCTCCAGGAGAAAACCGATGTTCTTGTTAATTTGGTGCCACCGATTAACGAACCGTTCAAATACGCAACCGCATTTTCCATTTACGAGAAGTTTTTGAAGTCCGAGTTTCCATTCAACACGTCGGTTTTTGGCGTTTACCAAGTGTTATATGTTAGCTATCCAGGTAACCATAATTTTTGGGAAAAAACAATTGTTTTTTTTTTTTTTTTAAAAAAAGTGGAAATGCAATCAAATAAAATAAATTTGCAGGTCTACCTTCGCAAGCCTCGGGCTCTGGTACAATCGACGTTCGACCTTATCCCGGTCGAGCAAAAAACGACGAGCCGTTAAAACCAATAGGTGTTGATGTGTCGAGAGTTAGGAAAGATAATAATTCAGACAGAAATATGATAATTATAATTATCCTCTCATCTGTCACGGCTTTTGTCGTTTGCATGGCCTTCATTCTGCTGCTCTTGTCTAAGTGTCGAAGTTTCTCGCACAGAGAGACTCAACACGTTAGTTCAGAATCTCCAGAAGTAAAACCACAAAGTATGAGTTGTTAATTTTTTCTATTCTACCTCTGTACTAGCAAATTTCATCCTGTTTTAAGACATTTCACTTCAATTATCGAACATTCATGAAATCGACAGGTGGCAGTAAGCTGCCGAGCTCGACCTCAATGTCTTTTAGCTCTAGTCTTCTCGCATGCACGGGAACTGCTAAGTTTTTCACCATTGAAGATATACAGAGAGCTACAGATAACTTTAACAAATCAAGTGTTCTAGGTGAAGGTGGTTTTGGGCTCGTTTACAGCGGAATTCTTGATGACGGGTCAAAAGTGGCGGTCAAAGTTCTGAAACGAGTCGACAATCAAGGGGGGCGCGAGTTCTTGGCAGAAGTCGAGATGCTCGGGAGGCTTCACCACAGGAATTTGGTCAAACTGATTGGCATTTGTGCCGAGGACCAATGCAGATGCCTCATTTATGAGCTCGTACCAAATGGGAGTGTAGAGTCTCATTTACACGGTCGGTATACCACATTTTGGTCATAATTTACGATTTATCGAGAAAAAATAAAATGATTCGGTTCTTTTGATGTTAAAGGGGTTGACAAGGAGATTGCGCCTCTTAATTGGAGTGCACGGATGAAAATTGCGGTTGGTGCAGCTCGGGGCTTGGCTTATCTTCACGAGGACTCGAGTCCTCGTGTGATTCATCGGGACTTCAAGTCGAGCAACATCTTGTTGGAACACGATTACACGCCTAAGGTGTCGGATTTCGGTTTGGCTCGATCGGCATTGGATGAAGGAAACAACAAACACATTTCGACTCATGTAATGGGAACTTTCGGGTAAGGCACTTTGTGCTTAAAGAAATACAACTTTCTATATTTATTCCTTTTAAGGCTATGTTTGATAACCAAATAAGCTAGCTTATAACTTATTTGATTAGCTTATAAGCTTCCTACATTCAAATAAGCTTCGATTGGTAGGACAGACGTTTTTAAAAAGCTCGAACTTATCTCATAAGCTTCTTTGGATAGCTTTTCAAATAAGCTCGTTGAAATTTTTATTTCAGCTAGCTTATCAACTAATTTTATGTAACACGTTTATCATATAAGCTAGCTAAGCTATAAATTATAAGCTCGAAAATTATTTATAAGCTATAAGCTAGCTTATCAGCTAGTTACCGAACACTTTTATCATATAAGTTAGCTATAGCTATAAGTCAGAAGCTATAAACTATAAGCTCGAAAATTACTTATAAGCTATAAGCAAACTTATGAGCTAATTTTACTAAACATAGTCTGTCTAAGTGTGAGATATAATTTGATTGTGCAGTTACTTGGCTCCCGAGTACGCGATGACGGGCCACCTCCTGGTGAAAAGCGACGTATACAGCTACGGGGTAGTCCTTCTCGAGCTCCTCACGGGAAGAAAGCCGGTGGACCTAACCCAACCACCGGGCCAAGAAAACCTCGTCTCGTGGGCCCGGCCCGTACTCACATCATCCCAATGGGCCTTCGACACAATTATGGACCCGTTACTAAAACTTGGAGGCGTGCCCTTGGAAAGTTTCGCCCGTGTGGCGGCCATAGCTTCCATGTGTGTCCAACCGGAAGTTTCTCACCGGCCTTTTATGGGCGAGGTGGTTCAAGCACTCAAGCTCGTTTGTGACGAGTTCGAGAGGTCGAGGAGGAGCTTTTGCAGCCAAGAGGAAGTTTTGATGGATGATGTGGAGGAGAGTGGGGTGTCGGGTGAGCTTGAGGAGGGTTATGGGCCGGGCCTTGGCGAAAGGGTGGGCTTTTCGGGCTTCGACTTGAGAGGTGGGTCGGGTGGTTTTGGAGGGAGGGAGTCTGAGTCGTTCAGGCGCGAGTTCAACTCGGCGCCACTAAAAATGGGGAGGAAAAAACGGAGGTTTTGGGATCGGGTGAGGGGGCTTTCGGGCGGGAGCATGAGCGAACACGAGTATTTGNTTCTTTTGTGTGTGTGTGTGTGTTTGTTGATATAGTTTGTTAGCTGGTTGTCAAAAAGGACAGGGCAAAACCCAGCTGCAACATTGAGATTGTAAGTGATGTTGAATTTTATATATATACAGAATTCAGAAATTTCAGTTTTGTGTTTTCAGGGGCAAACTTTTACTGCTAAGAAATATTTCAAACATTTGTCATTACTAGTAAACATAATTTAATACACAGATGACTTAAAAACAATAACTGCAACACAAATTAAACATTAATCTGATCTAAAGTTGTTGGGGGTTTCTGTACTCAAAACTCCAGCAGCTTTGCCTAATCACTCTCTCAAAATCTTCACCCCAATGTACCTAACCACAAGCGCATTTTATACAAGGAACATACATACATGATACATGTTCTGATCAAGTGAACCTCAGATTGAAAACACTACACAACTCAAACCAGTAGTAGCAGAATGATTGTATAATTTAAATTACAATCATTTTGTGTGGCAGAAAATGCTTGACCAACAATATAGTTGAGAATTTAAATTACATTTTAAGATTTTTCTGAATGTGAATTTTTTATTAGTTAGCTTAAGTTTTATTTTACTAAAACCACGGTAAATCTTAAATCTAAAGCTAATATTGATTGTATAATTTATTTATTTTTTTCAATCTAAAATTAGTGTTAAAAACTCGTACAAAATCACAATTTACCTAGTAACTTCTTAAGATTTTTAAAATCTNACAAAAAAACCACACGCATAGACCTCAAAAACGAAAATCGCATGTGATTACTAGCGACTTTTTCGTATTTTCTCTTTTAGATCACAGCTTCAGATCCAGCAAAAGCCCTTATTATATCTGCACTCTGTTTTTCCTCTGTTTACAGTGAACAAAAAAATCCCCCATCTTGAGGAAATGGGTCGTCTGGTCTCGGGTCGGGTCGCCTCCATTGTTTCTTGCTTGCTCCTCCTGTTCTCCTCCGGGAACTCCTTCTATCTCCCTGGAGTTACGCCACGCGATTTTCAAAGGGTAATGCTGTTTTCTTCTTCTTCTTCTTCACTCACTAATTCACAATGCCTCAGTTCTTCTTCTTCTTCTTCTTCTTCTTCTTCTTCTTCTCACTCTGTAATTCACAATGCCTCAGTTCATAGTATTAGGTTCGAGGAATCGGATCTTATGAACCCCTGATGATTACATCTAGGTAGTTTGGTATCTGGTTTATGGGCATTCTGAAATTTATGTGTTTTAGTGATGGATGGAGATCTAGGGTTTTATATGTTTGGTTAGTTAGAGATTTTCGAATTGAGGTTGATATGGTGTTTTGGCTGCTGCTTGTGGTGCGGAATTTAGGTTGTGATTTTTAGTTTTTGATTATTTGGTTTCTGGCAAATCTGTCTTCAATCGGTCGATTAGTATGTTGTGATTTTCAAGCTAATATATGATGTGGCGCATGGTAATGAAAATGTTGCATTGAAATTTAGGTAATCTGTATTTTAGCTACCCGGAGAACTTTATGGAACTCTTACATCAGTTATTATACAGAATCATGAACTGGTTAAACTTGGTTAACTGAGCCTGATTTACATCCTAATGGATCTACATATTTTTCTTATTTTTTGCCATCATTGTGTTTGCATTTTCTATATACTGGATATGTGCAAATCCTTTTGTAAGCTGCAGCACATAATTTAGAGATTGATTGTTCTTATAGGTTTGCGTACCACTTGGTGATTAATGATTATAATGACTGATGTAATACTTACAAGTTCAACGTGCTTAAAAAGCTAAATTGTGACTAGTTTGTCATTTTCTCAGTTTCTTCTTTCTGCCTGTAAGATGGTGAAATTCTTACTTGGCTTTGCCGAGTTTCTGTTTTTTTCATGGTCTAATGCCCATCTCTTCCTGATAACAGGGGGATGAACTTCAAGTCAAAGTCAACAAGCTATCTTCTACTAAGACGCAACTCCCATATGACTTCTATTTCTTGAAATACTGCAAGCCGGAAAAAATCCAGAATGTTGGTGAAAACCTGGGAGAGGTTCTTCGAGGTGACCGCATAGAGAATTCAGTTTATGTTGTAAGTCTCCATGAGTACTTCATGAATCTACTTCAACTCTATGATTTCATTCCTTGACTTGTTACGTATCTTCTCCTAACGAGACTTTTGGATTGGGTTAACTAGTTTCACATGAGGGACGAACAGTCTTGCAAAGTTGCTTGCAAAGTTCATCTTGATGACCAGGCTGCAAAGGATTTCAAGGAGAAGATTGATGATGAGTACAGAGTCAATATGTATGTATTATATTAAGTTGGTCCTCTCTCCTCATTTTCACTTGATGTAGCCTTTGTTTTGTTTCATGGCATGTATTGATCGTGTAAAAATCACAATTGCTTTTACTGGTCCCAACACCTGAAATTTGTCTGCAGGATTCTAGATAACCTTCCAGTTGCAGTGCTCAGGCAAAGGAGAGATGGATTCGAAACAACAACTTATGAGCATGGCTTTCGTGTTGGGTTCAAAGGGAATTATGCTGGGGTTTGTGTTTTGTTCCTTGTCTGTTATATGTTGTATGTACTCCTCAAGTGTTCCAATATATGCATTTTGTTTTCCCCAGACCAAGGAGGAGAAATATTTTATTCATAACCACCTAAGCTTCAGAGTTATGTATCACAAAGATCCTGAAACTGATTCTGCCCGAATAGTTGGATTTGAAGTTTCTCCAGTCAGGTTTGTCTACAAAACTTTGAAAAGCTCAAGTGTTTCAGCTTCAGCTCGTACACTGATCCCTTCTTTTAATGAATCTCATCTTGCATTAACCTTCATTTTTGTCTACAGCATTAGTCACGAGCACAAAGAGTGGGATGATAAGAACCCTAATGTCCCCACCTGCAACCAGAACACCAAAAACTTGGTTCAGGGGAGCACTGGTCCTCAAGAAGTGGATAAAGACAAAGATATTGTATTTACTTACGATGTTGCTTACAAGGTATAAACTTTCGGTAAAATCAAACATTATTCTCCTCGCCAGACCTTATTGTCGGCTCCACAACAATAACAAGCGCAAAAATTTTTGTTGTAGGAAAGTGAAATTAAGTGGGCTTCGCGGTGGGATACCTATCTTCTGATGAATGATGACCAAATTCACTGGTTCTCAATAATAAACTCTTTAATGATCGTCCTCTTCCTATCTGGTATGGTTGCCATGATTATGATGAGAACATTGTACAAAGATATCACCAACTACAACCAATTGGAAACCCAAGACGAAGCTCAGGAAGAAACTGGATGGAAGCTCGTTCATGGGGATGTCTTCCGGGCCCCGGTAAACTCTGGGCTGCTGTGTGTTTATGTGGGGACTGGTGTTCAGATCTTCGGAATGACACTTGTCACGTTGATATTCGCCTTGCTCGGTTTTCTCTCTCCTTCCAGCCGTGGTGCGCTCATGTCACTCATGCTCCTGATGTGGAATTTGATGGGATTATTTGCAGGCTACTCATCGTCTCGTCTTCATAAAACGTTCAAGGGTTCTGAATGGAAAAAAATCACCTTAAAAACAGCCTTTTTGTTCCCGGGTATTGTGTTTTCCATCTTCTTTGCGCTGAATGCTCTCATTTGGGGAGAAAAATCGTCCGGGGCTGTGCCCTTTGGTACAATGTTTTGGTTGGTGTCTTCTTGGTTTGGAGTATCTGTGCCGTTGGTATTTTTTGGTAGCTATTTCGGTTTCAAAGAAGCCGCCTTTGAGGATCCCGTCAAAACCAATAAAATTCCGAGGCAGATACCCGAGCAAGCCTGGTACATGAAGCCGATATTCTCTATACTAATTGGGGGCATTCTTCCATTTGGGGCCGTTTTCATCGAATTATTCTTCATTCTGACTTCCATTTGGCTGAATCAGTTCTATTACATCTTTGGTTTCTTGTTTATAGTCTTCGTGATCTTGATAATCACTTGTGCAGAGATCACGATCGTTTTATGCTATTTCCAGTTATGCAGTGAGGACTATAACTGGTGGTGGAGGGCTTATTTCACTGCTGGCTCGTCTGCTTTTTACCTTTTCCTTTACTCGGCCTTTTACTTTTTTACCAAGCTGGAGATTACTAAGCTGGTCTCGGGTATTCTGTACTTTGGGTACATGCTTATTGCCTCGTATGCTTTCTTTGTGTTGACGGGGACAATCGGGTTCTTTGCATGCTTCTGGTTCGTTCGGAAGATATATTCATCAGTGAAGATCGATTGAAAGTGAAAATAGTTAATGCGTTACGGGATTTTGGATGAGAAGTAACAGCTGTGTAAATTTTTCGCTTGTGTTGATTTGATGAGAAGTAACAGCTGTGTAAATTTTTCACTTGTGTTGATTCGATGAGAAGTAACAGCTGTGTAAATTTTTCACTGCCTGCTAAAAACACCATTTTACCGTTTTTCTGGTCTAACAACCTGCTAATGTCTGGTTTTGCGTATACAAATTTTTTGGTTTGCTGAAAATTGGGTTTTGAAGAATTACCTACAACTTGTTGAAGAAAAATGATAGATTAGTTAGTTGTTTTATGATCTTTAGTTCGTGTTACGCTATTTGGTTTGATTTACAATTTTTTTTATGANGCTTCTGATGATAATTACTGCCCTCATTTTTTTTTCCTTTTTTTTCATACAGTTGGGTTCTTGAATATGTGTGTTGAGTATATGCTGTGACAAGTGGGCAAACAAAAACTTGCATTATGAAAACAAACCTATCTAGGATCAATATGAAAACACTCTTTGAAATCAATCCAAAGAGGTACATCATGCTTATAAGCATAAAAAAATTCTGATGTACATAATATATATATATTATTATTAGTAGTAAATCAGACAAAATCAGCTAAAAAGTTTGCCTTTCAACCAGAGCATGACTTGAGCTTCCCATTTCTTTGCCTGCACACACATGGAAGCACTTTTCAGTAATCAATCAGAATCTGATGAAAGATTTAAAAGAATTTTCGACATCTGAAATTTAAGGATACCAACCAAAACGCATCCTTCTTTTCTTGTGCAAGTAATTCTTCGAACGATATATCACAAAATTCATCATCTGTACTCTTCCCAAGGCTGCTCGATTTTGCCTTTGTCTCCATACACGCACTGATTTCCAACATCTTCAAGATTAACACCAATAATCATCAATCGAGATTCCAATGACCAAGAAAAAGATGTGTTTAACGTTTAACACTGACTGAAGAGAATATGGGTTTTCTTCATCAATGGTTTTGCACAACTAACACAACCGTTTTATTGCAAAAGATATTCGGTTACCTTGTAAAAATTAAAATTACAACTGTTTACAGCTTACAGGTACTTTTTCAGTTAAACAGTGGCATATATTATTAATTTTGAAAGAATGAGTTTCATATTTTCATTTTCATACCTTTTTGTATGCTGGAGAGGCCTTAAACTGTTCTTGAAGCCAGTTATACACGAAAGCATCCTCTTCTAACCTCTTCTGCTCTAATTCTAGCTTGTATATCTATAACAAAGTTTATATCACAATTTTAGAAATAACTATACAAATAGAAACATATTTGAAACCGAGAGCTCTTTCTCGAGCACCTGTTGACGAAGCCGGTCAAACGATGACCTGTCTGCCTTAAATAGTAGGGCCTTTATAATTGTGAATTTCCTTTTGATGACCTCAGACCTGTCTTACCATGAACCGACATTATTGTTTAAAAACATTAACACAGCAAAATTTAAAAAAATAGAAACTGTTTAAAGTTACAGTGAAATTAAACACATGAAAAGTTTTGAAGTAATGCTAAAGAGAAAATTTTGTGTAACTGTGAGAACAAACTCACACATTTGAGATTAAAATTTGATTTACATACTACAAAGAGAAAATGCTGCAAGCTTACTTATTCTGGAGCTCATTTCTTGCCTCAACAAGACAATTGACAAACTGTCCAACCTGCAAAATATGTTGGAAAAAATGTAATTATTAATTTAATTTTCCATGAAACCTGAAATCCCAAAAATCAAATGAACAGAAACCTCAACGTGCTATAACAATTGCAAAACAATTTTGATAAAGATCAAGAAAATTTCTACAATTCAAGAAAATTTCGGCAATTCAAGCTGCAATTCAGCAATAAAACTACCTACAGGTTCCCAATTCAAGGGAGAAAATATCTGAGTATTCATATATACACAAGTTCAAAAGAGCTCCTATATAGTGTCCCAAAAACATTCCACGTAAAGGTGAACTAAATCCGCACCTAATTAAACACCAAAAGAGCAATTATGTGATTGTAAAAGAGCAATTATGTGATAGTAATACTTCTCCCTGGTTCTCTCAAGGTTGTATAGGCACTAGAAAAACAACGAACTAGAAAACTAGTGGCATAAAAAGCTTTCATACACCTCAGGTAAGTGTATAATGCAGATAACGGTATATAGCAAAATTCTGAACTGTCATGTGGCATATAATTGTACAAAATTCTGTTGAAGCTGTTAATATAAAATGAAGAATATATAGTATTGTACTCTGCATGAATAATATTGCACTCAGCATCTTTTCCCCTAAATTTTCACCTTTTTCTAATTCATTACTTAGATCCATCACTTTTTAAGATATGGAAACTAGCAGTCTTTTGTACTTTAGAACAAATGAAATAATGAACACGAACAAGATACAAATCAAAAGGGAAACGTGATAGTAATTCAACCATGCACATTGTAAAGCTTCCAAGCAAATGATTTTATGAATTTCTTTTGAAGAAACTTAAATCCTCAATCAAATGTCAGCCAAAAAATCAATTCAAATGAGGCAAAAAACGTTATTGCAATATTGAGCACATCAATGCAGAAAATCCATAACGTGAAACCAGCAATTTTTATTAGCAAAGGGTCATTAATATTCTCCAACACAGTTAAGCAAGGCAGTTACCTAATCTCGTTTAATAACAAAAGTACACAACCATAAATGTTCACACTATTCATAACAACAAAAATAAAAATAGAAAANCTGAGTGACACTACAAGATTTCGTGAACGGATACAAACAAACAAACTCCTCTTTATCCTTCCTCTCCTCTTCATTCGGGCCGGGCTTCTTCTTCCTAGCCCGCTTCCTCCTCACCTTCTTCTCCTCCTCCTCCTCCTCCTGGCCCGACCTTATTTCCCCACCCGGCCCATCCCCAAATTCCTCGCGATCGCTGAAAAGGGTGTCCCATTTTGTCGAGCCCGAGGGCAAGATCTCGAGGAGCAGCAAACGGGCCAAATTTTCCGGGCCGGGCTCGCATCCCTTTTCTCGTTTCTGTTGTGGGTCTGCCTTCCCATCGTCGTTCAAGGCTAAAGACTCGATTTTTACGGGGCTGCGCTGCTCTTCGCCGCCACTGACGCGGCTAGAACTCTTCCAAATCGCGCAGAGAGTGAAAATCAGAACCGAAAAAGTGAGGAACATCAAGAAAGGGAAAGGGCTCAGCAATGTAATTTGGTGTAGAGAAGGCTGAGGTGGCGGTGGATTGTCAGAAGGGAGAGTGATAAGAAGAACAACTGGTGTGGCCGCCATGGGAAGAAAGGAGAGCGGGTCTCTGCGTTTGTCACTGATAGTGCGTTTTTGTTTTTTTCTTTTCTTATATATATTTATTTATGAATGTGGGTGAAAAAAAGACAAAAAAACAGTGAGAATTTTGTTGGTTTTCTATAAAAACTAGTACAGTACCCGTGCGATGCACGAGATGGTATATTTTCCTGAAATATTTAACGTGTGAAATATTAAAAATGATATAATTTATATATATGTAATAAAAATAAATGGATTGCAAAGAAGGAAAAAAAATATAAATTATTGAATTGTGAAGTAAAATTTATGAAGGTTTGGTATATTTGATTATGAATAGAAAAGTATGAAATACTACCTGCGGACCGTTGAGATAGATGAGAAGATTTACTTAGAATATATAGAATAAATATTGAGATAATGATTTACCTTTACCTAGTATAGATAAAATAAACATTGACATGATGTGGGAAAATTATGACGAATTATGACATAAATTCGTTTAGAAAATATTCAAAAATTAGATTTATTTTTTATTTTTTAAATCTTTACAGTAATTCGTACGTTCCTTTTCATACGCTTAATTTATCAATTTTACACATACAAATTAAAATTAATGCAACTCGAAATATTATATAACAAATAAAATGAGATTTTTATCTAACATTTAGTATATTGCCGGAAATTTTTTTATAAATCTTATTCTCTTTTTATGCACATAGATATTAAAGAATGAGTAAAAAAAATATCTAAATATGTTTAAAAGTATCTAATATTATATGTGTTAACAGTGTTACAACCAAAAGACATTAAGAATACGCAGACTATTATATAACATATGTGAAAGTATTAAAATATTTTATATTATTATTGAAAAATGTGAAATTACCTCAATTTTGTCTAGACTATTTTATAAGAAAAATATATATACTTAAAGTTAGCACACACATATATATATATCCTTAAAATTTGCCCAACTAACATGTTTAAAAGTATATAAAATTTTATCTATAAAATACGTTTAAAGTTTACATATTTTACAAAAATTAGACTGCTCTCAGTTTATATAAAGTTTGTTGCTCTCATATTCGGATAATGTATTATGCATTTAATGAAAGCACCTACGATACAAATTTATAAATATTAATTAAAATAATTTTCTAAATTATATAAAATTGAAATAACAAAGGTAAATATTACCTGTTCATCGTGAAAATGCGTTACAGCTCTCCCGTTCGTGATGGGTTTGAATAATGCGGACTGCTCTCAGACACAAAAAAGGTTTGTTATAAATATTAATTAAAATAATTTTCTAAATTATATAAAATTAAAATAACAAAGGTAAATATTATCTGTTCATCATGAAAATGCGTTACAGCTCTCCCATTCGTGATGGGTTTGAATAATGCGGACTGCTTGGTTTCAATAATGCGGACTACTCTCAGACGCAAAAAAGGTTTGTTATAAATATTAATTAAAATAATTTTCTAAATTATATAAAATTGAAATAACAAAGGTAAATATTACCTGTTCATCATGAAAATGCATTACAGCTCTCCCGTTCGTGATGGGTTTCAATAATGCCGACTGCTCTCCCGTTTGTGATGGGTTTCAATGATGCGGACTGCTATCAGGCGCAAAAAAGGTTTGTTATAAATATTAATTAGAATAATTTTCTAAATTATATAAAATTGAAATAACAAAGGTAAATATTACCTGTTCAAAAGGTTTGTTATAAATATTAATTAGAATAATTTAGAAAATTATATAAAATTGAAATAACAAAGGTAAATATTACCTGTTCATCATGAAAATGCGTTATAGCTCTCCCGTGGGTTTCAATAATGCGGACTGCTCTCAGACGAAAAAAAGGTTTGTTTCTTTTGTTAACGTACCCCAGTCTGGAAGCATTATATATCAAGTGTACCCCAGCCTGTTCGTGATGAGTTTCAATAATGCGGACTGCTCTCAGACGCAAAAAAGGTTTGTTATAAATATTAATTAAAATAATTTTCTAAATTATATAAAATTGAAATAACAAAGGTAAATATTACATGTTCATCATGAAAATGCGAATATTACCTGTTCATCATGAAAATGCGTTACAACTCTCCTGTTCGTGATGGTTTCAATAATGCTTTGTTATAAATATTAATTAAAATAATTTTCTAAATTATATAAAATTGAAATAACAAAGGTAAATATTACCTGTTCATCATGAAAATGCGTTACAACTCTCCTGTTCGTGATGGTTTCAATAATGCGGACTGCTCTCAGACGCAAAAAAGGTTTGTTATAAATATTAATTAAAATAATTTTCTAAATTATATAAAATTGAAATAAAAAAGGTAAATATTACCTGTTCATCATGAAAATGCGTTATACTCTCCCGTTCGTGATGGGTTTCAATAATGCGGACTGCTCTCAGACGCAAAAAAAGGTTTGTTTCTTTTGTTAACGTACCCAGTCTGGAAGCATTATATATCAAGTTTACCCCAGCCTGGAAGCATTATATTGTATATGCGATGAAAAATTATTCTCTGTATTTTTTTTTCTCTGAACTCGTGAATGATGAGTTGTAATGGTGGTAGTGAATACCCTTTTATACAATTTTTTATTAACAAAAGTGATAAGATAATTATGGATTGTATTTGGATAGATTTTAAATACCATGATTTTTGGGATGCAACAACAAAATATGCAATCACATGTATATATCTTATCACGTTAAAGGTATATCCATCCCTAAAAAACAGGAAAAAAAAAACCATATATTTTGAAAGGATTTTTAAATTAGTTTCTACAAATGGAAAGTCAATGGGGTTGTTGACCAATTTTTTAAAACTTTCCCAAAAGGATTTATTGACCTCTCTTTTTCAATATATATAGATGACTTCTTATCTTGATTTGTTTTAGCAGTTAGTATATCCGTAGGGTTTTAATTTAAAAATGTAGTCTTTTGTAATGTCTCGGAGCTGACTTGATTTGGCTTCTTCTAGATTTTCCTTTACGAGAGCATTTGACATGTTAGTATTAAATTCACATCTATACTTATATAATAAGGTGTACCATTTACAAAATTTAGTAAGTTGAAAAGTCAATGCAATAAATGCATTACTATTTTGAACAACATAATATAATATCATATCTATACTTATATAAAAGGAGATTCTATTTACTACATTTACTATTCCAAAAAGTCGACTGCATTAAATACCATTACTATTTTGGTATTATAATATTTTATTTATTTAATTGCTTTATTTATTTGTTTAATTTTAAAAAGGTAGTATAATAAAAAGATTTTAATAATAAAAAAATTAAATACCAAATAAAAATATACACTTTGACTTATTTGATTATATTTGGTATTTGATTATACCAAATATATTCCTATTTAGTATATACATTAAATACTTACTAAAGTATTTATTTGTTTTATTTGTCAAAGTTAAGTATAGATTTGTTTATATTATCAAATCATAAAAAAATATTAAATCCATATTGTAAAAAAAAATCATATAATTTTATAACAATTCTACTACACTATTTAACAATATTTATTTTTTATTATATTAATAATAATTAAATATTATATGGTTGACAACAATAAGTAAAACTGTTACTTTACTTTATATCAAGGGATAAATTTATATGCTAAAATTAAATTTTTATTAGTATAAATGTTTTAATGAGATAATATATTAATTATTTTACAAGCTAACCCTAACATGCTCATATTTAATGTTTTAAAAGATGTAGAAAAAAACTTATAATAACTATATTGTTTTTTAGACTTAAACGTTGATTAAAAGAGGTAAAAATTTCTAATTTTTTAGACTTAAACGTTGATTAACACCATAGATTGAGAGTCTATATTTAGTAAAATTCCTAATTGTAATAAAAAAAAAAATAATTTTTGCTATATTTTAGAATATCTTTAAAATTATTATAAAAGAAAAAAGAAAAAAAAACTACAATGAAAAAAGCAAGTCAGCTATATATCGATTTGTTGTACTCCTCAAATCACATTCACAATTTGGCTACAAAGAAAGGAAACTCATTGATTAAAATATTATTTTGTCAGTAGTCTTAATGTACAAGAGACTTTAAGACTCCACTTGAATATTGTAAAACTTTTATTGAACATTGTACAATTTTCTTGCGTATTATAAACTCTTATTGAATATTGCATCTTATAATATAATATTCTCCGAATAAATATACCCCGTGCTTCGCACGGGTCACGTACTATATATATCCCGTATATTTTTCTTTATTCATGTATATAATTATAATCTTGATAAATAGCCTTAAAATTGTGCACCTCGTGCATCGCACAAGCTCTGTACTAGTAAATATAAACAAGTCCTTTTGATCATTTTAGGTTATGTTATTTTATAAAGAGTTCCTTATGGATTATCTTCTTACGTATAAATGTATAGTTTTTTTTTCCATGTTTACTATAACTTTCAAATTTAAACACTTGGCTAACTTAAATTATAAATATATTTTAAAAGTTAATAATATTTATATTTGTTATCATTTTTGTATATGATAAATTAAATTTATCATATTTCGACGATCTATAATTCGGCATTAATATCTTACTAGTACAATGTCCGTGTATTACACGGGTGTTGAATTAGAAAGCTTTTGTAAAAAATATTAAATTTTCTATTTTTTAAAAAAAAAACTAAAATAATCTAGTTTTATATAAAACATTACTTTGGGTTTTAATTAAATTATCAAATTATATTTTTTAATCATAATAATTAAACACCCGTACATTAAACGAAAATGTGAACCCGTGTTGAATTTTTTACTTATATCATATAAAAATATCGATATTATTTACTATTACATAAGTACAAAAATATATATCTTAAATAAATAAAAATAATATGGTGATATGTATATGCATAAGTGTAGAATATGTTTATTTAATATGAAACAAAATAGATTAATTTTTTTACTTAATTAGATGCCTAATACATCAAGTGTCGTATCAGTCGTGCTTCACAGTTTTTTAACTTTATATGTAATTTTAGAATTTATATAAATAATTATTTATTTTTATTATATTGACAACATATCAATTAGATTTGAAACAAATATTATTTTAAAAGAATACATACCAATTTCTATTACTTTATAATATTATTTATAATTTTATTTGATATAATTTAATTTAGTTTGATAAATAAATTTAAATTTTATTTATAAGGATATATATTATTGTTTTGTATTACATATATATATATATATATATATATATATATATATATATATATATATAAATAGTAAAATACAAACGGACTTCATAATATCAATTCAAATGCAACATACTAATTAAGATTTTTTTTTCTTGACAATATTAACCCTATTTAACGGATGTTATGGGAAACGATGGAGATGGGATATGAAGAGACACTGTGTATTAGATTGAGGGTTAAAAATGGAAAATATAATTTATTTATTTTATATATACAATATGGATGTCAAATCGAAGCTCATTAAAAGATGATTAATTTGATATATTATATATGTAAAACCGATAAGAAATACAAAAGTTATCAACTTTTAAAATATATTTTCAATTCAATGGTTATAATAGGAAACAATATTAAAATACAATTAATATAAATATATTAATCTATATCCAAGCCTAACTCCAAAGCATGATTTTTGCCAAATAGGATTTCGAAGCATGAGAGTTTGCTACATAGGCTCAGCGCATTCTGAAATTATATATAGTGGGGATATATAAATTAAAATAATATATCTATCGAATCTCTAACAATAAAATTTTTATTAACTATAACTAAAAAACAATAAATTCATTTATCAAGCTTATTATAAACATATTATATGGTATAAATACTTAAAATATTGCAATACAATGAGTCGAATCTTATAAGTAAGGTGTATATTAAATTAGCAATACTTAAAATAATGTTAAACTAGTGTGCACCCCGTGCGATGCAGGGGAACAATATTAAATTAACAATATTATAAATAGACATCGAGTTTGAGTCACTCAATGACGGAAGTGGAAACTACTATTGATCCTATTTAAAAAGAGGAAGAAAAAAAATAATTATAAATTAAAGAGGAGGATAAACAATACTTAATAATTATAAATTAAAGATTTGGGGTCAAACAATGTAAAATTATTTTGTATAAGGGAATATAAAAAAATTTGATTACACTCCATTTCAAAATTATTATTATACTTTTTTGTATGGTTAGCTTATAATATTTGTAAAAATATTAGTAATTAGACCGATGAAAATTAGCTTCTTAACGTAGATAATGAATTTTTATTTTATTTTATTTTTTCTTTTTAAAGATAATGGATTTCTAGTAGTAATTAAGAATTGGTTTCTATTTTATTTTATGTTTTCAAATCTGTATAGATAAGGGATGAAATTTTTTAAACATGTGAGACGTATGCAATGGGATTTTGTAACAGAAGAGATAAGCAATGGGATTTTGTAACTTGTATAGATTTATACTAAAAATAGAAAAAAGAAAAATAAATATTTATTGTCAAACAACGGTTTTGATAAACTAGAAAACATGAAAAAGAGAAACAAATCTTTACACAATTAATGAGCCGATTTTTTTGCCTATTCAGATTTGTCCAACAATTACTATATGTAGAATATATTTAATGATTTTGGCTGGAAAAAGTTTCTAAGTTTGTAAAAAGATTATTCTTTTTATATAATGATAGATGCAAAAATAATGTTATTTTGTATGAATTATTTAAAATTTTAAAAGAACTTGTATTTATAATATTACAAATATTAAATATAAATTTATAATTAACACATGTAAATATATGAAGTTAACACCAAAAATCCAGCCTAGACAATTGCCTAGGCTAGCCCATATATGGATCCATCACTGAATCTAATGGTGCATGCTAAACCTAGTTTAATCTCAAATTCTCAGATTAACGATGTGATTTATCATATTTTTATTCAACAAAATTGCATATTTATGTTTTGACATATCGTATTTTCAGTTTATGTTATTTTCTAGAGTATGATATTTCATATTAAAAACATACTTGTTTATTGAAAAGGTATGATTATGTAATTTCCAGCCGGTCTTAATTTTTCGGTACATTTAAATATGTACTAGTAAAAAATATTTTAGTCTACGTTATATAAGACTAGCATATATTAATCTTATCTCGGCCCAAAATTAATAAATTATGTTTATTTTTAATTAAATCAATGAATTATATATTTGAAAATGATTTAAATCTCTTTTCACTTTTTCTTTTAACTCATTTTGTCGTTTCTCGTCTTCTTTTTGTGTTTTAAATTATATTATTTAGTTAAATTAAATTTATTTTAATAAGTTTATTCGAGACAATAATTGCTTGTGTTAGACTTCCATTAGAATATTTAGGATGCAGTTGAATTTATTGATTTTAAAATTCAGTTATATATTTTTCTGATGTTTCAAATAATTAATGGTATTTCAGTATATAAAAAATTTAATACCAAGTCTCATTTATTTATGTGGCATATTCAATGAAATAATATATGAACTTTAAATGACAAGTCATACACAATAAGAGTAAAGCGATTAGTATACCGTCTCATGGCGGTCTTTTCAATAAATCTATTATTTTTCTAATTAAAATTCAAGTATATGATAAAAAAATAATTTGCATCTAAAAAATAATAATTAATTAATTAAAAGTTATGATTTATCATATATATAATAGAGTAGTTAATAATTCACAAGTTTTTTTTAGAAGGTCCATATATTTGAATGTTATTCTAATACGTGATTCATGTAATTTATATTAATACTTCATAGTTGTTTTCATACTTTTATTTTATTTATAAATGTGTCTAGTTAGATTATTCAAGTCAAGTATTCCATGTTTAAACTCATGTACATTTAATAAGCCATGACTCAACTCGTTTAATAAACAAACACAAATGTGAGTCTGAGTTCAGATCGTTTAAACTCGGTTTGACTCGTTTAATAAACGTTAAAATCTGGACCAAAACTCAAAATTCTAACCGAGTCGATCGCAAACAAGTTCAACTCGACTTGTTTGATAGAAAAACTCGATTAGTTGTTGATGTTAGCTTGTTTAAATATACAAGTGAATCGAGTTCGACCTTTCATAAGTCGAATTGAATTATGTTATTCGTAGTGTTCTTAAATTAAACGAGCCTAGCTCGACTCGTTAAGGCTCGAGTTTGACTTGGCTCGTTTGATAAAGGAGCCGAGCTCGAGCTCATTTGATAAACAAGCCGAGCTAGAGCTCATTTAAAGCTCGTTTGTTTAACGAGTCGAGCTCGACTCGATAAGACACGTTAAGGATCGAAAAGATAATTTTTATATAATTTTCTATAATTCAGCTCGTTATCAACGATAATGAGCCGAGCTCGATTTCAAGCTCGAGTTCGAGTAACTTAAGCTCGAGCTTGAGTTCGATTCGACTCGTTTACAGACCTAGTTACCATATATTCAATTTGCACGTTTTGTAGTCTAGGATAAAAATAATTTCTGGCTACGCCCTTAAGGATTTAAATCTAAAATATACATATTCATTGAGAAAAATATGATTATCTTATCCATAAGTCTGGTAACTAACAACAACCTCATTATGTATACTTGAATTATTCCATTAAGAAATGTCCAACGATAATCATCAATATATACAGAGAGATCCTCAATACATGCCAAAGTCAATTTAATCACCAATATATACACACAACAAATTCATCTTTATATAAATATTCAATAGAGTGAACTGATTGATGAGTGGAATCATATTTACCCAGGTGACATCTGTTCACATATTTGATAATCGAACGAGAAAACATAAAGGCTCAAATTTGTGATGAACTCATGTATTGAGGTGGAAATTTTATTTTACAGCGTGCAAGGACCGAATGCAAAAATAAATAAATAAATAAATAAATGAAATTGTGGTGGTATATATCTGTAGCACTTGTGACAAATCAAAGAAAAGCAAAAGCATTGATAAGTCAATCGAAGAAAGGCACACAAATCTCATCATGTTAATTTTGTAGCTGCTACCTGAAAAATCTAAAGGATGTGTCATAACTCATAATACATGATGATATTCATCAGTGTGTGTCCAAATCCTACTTAACAGTAGAAGATCAGGATATTGTCACAAAGTAAATAATTACTCATCATAATAATTTTATTTTTCTACAGTTGTTTCTCCTTAACTTTCCCCCTGAAGAAATTAATTAAACACATTGTTCGTCTTGTGTCTTGGGTGGGCCTTATTTTCTTTGTTAGGCTGCCAAAAGCGTAAATGTCAAGAAAAAGTAGGTTTTGGCGACGACTTTTTTGCTAGCTTAACGTTGTCAAACCTTTTAAAATTAGAAGTAGATTTGTATGGTGTAGGGGTTTATAAGGAACCCCTTGTTAATTAGTTGATGATTAGGGTGAATTAGTCTATAGGAGTATAGGTTCCTCAGGTGTAAACTTGATCTTTTAAACTGGGACTAAAACTAATTAAATGTTACTACATGTAATTAAACACTACAACCAAATGATGAAATTTCAATAGAAATTTCGAACGTAAATATATTTCAATGGAATTCCAACAGAAATTTTAGTTGATATTTCAATGTCATTATTTCCGTAGGTATTTTTCAATTGATTTCAACGAAAATTCCAACAAAAATATTCCATTGTAATGAGTTTTGCATTGGAATTTCCGTTGTATTTTGACGATTCGAACGGTAGATTTATCAACGGGGGTAGAAATAAAAATTTTTACGGTAAAAACCGTTGGAAAAATAGTCGTTGGAATCATAAAATTTCATCTAAAATTCTAATAGGATACTCATTCCAATGGAATATAATCATTCCAACGGAAGCTATACTATTCCATTGGAATTTCCGTTTGAATATATTACCGTAGAATTTTCAATTGGAATATAACAATTATTTTGTAGTGTAAAATTATTGAAAAAAAGAAACACAAACGCTAGTTGATCAGTAAAATACAATCATCCTTGGAGGTGATTATAAACAGAGGCGGAGCCATCCCAAATGCTGGGGTTGGCTACAGCCCGGTCTTAATTTTTCGACATTGTTAATTTAATATTAGTAAAAAAATATTTTAGCCATATTACATTAGATTAACGCATTATTAATCTTATTTTGACCCATTAAATCATTAGATACTTAGTATGTAATTGAATTTATAAATTTCACAATCAAGTTTATATATTCACCAAATTTTTAAATAAATAACAAATGATTATATGAAATTTTACTACTAAATCTCATTTATTTGTTTGACAAATTCAATCAAATGACATATGTATTTTAAATGACATGACATTTAACAAGAGTGATAGAACTATTACACTATTTTATAGTATTTTTTTTAATAAATTATGTCGTTTTTCTAATTAAAATTCAAGTATATAAGAAAATTTATCTTTGTACATTTTTAAATTCAAGTGTAATCATGTTGTATTTTGGCGAGACCTTTTCTGAAAATATCTCTCAATATCTGATATGCAAAAATTAATGTTATAATCTTACAATCAATTGAAAGTCTCTATTTCTGCATATCACACCTTAAAGAGCTATAAGCACTTTAGGGATTGAATTTACAATTTCTACATAAAAAGAATAAATTTATCACTACCTAAAAAATAAAGAAGAATAATTTGTATCTCCACCAAATTAAAATATAAGGCTCCGTTTGTTTTGAGAGATTTGAAATCCCTTAATTTAAATTTTTTTGAAATATTTTACTTGCACACTCCTTGAATGGATATTTTGAAAATATTATAAATCACTTGTCTAGCTCGCACCGATGGTGTTGACTCACGGTTGTGATGAACCTAAATGATCTTGGACTGCATGGTCATCAACGGTGATAAACAATGGATTTCAAATGACTAGGTTTGAGGAGTCATTTAAAATCCTTCAAAATAATGACTAAAAAATATCTAGCATGAATTTGAAATCCTCATAACTTCCATTACCATCCCAACATGCATGGGGGTTTGAACTTGTAAATTTAAAATTTATAAATTTCAAATCCCTCAATAAATCCTTCAATCCAAACGTACCTACAAAAATTTCGTTACCTCGCAATGGTTTGCTCGAACAATTGGACCAAAAATTGGTAAGTTTTTTTTTTGACTATTTTCTCACTTTCCTCTCTCCTCTTTCCCCTTTTTCTCTCTTTTCTTTGCCTATGTTCGTGGCCTTTGCGTTGCCAGGCTCTATTTTATTATGCAATGTCATTTTTTTTTTTTGTTAATTTAAGATGCAAGACTCTCTTTTATTAAATTTATATAGTGTTAATTTATATAGTGTTAATTGACAGAAACTGGGGATAATTTGACTATTTTCCCACTATCATGACGCGCACCATAGGAAAACAGGAAAAACCCATATGAAGCCCAAGTGGGGTTCCATCCCAAAACCAATTGGTGGAAGGAAGAGTAGCCCATTAGTCTTATAAGGTGAGTCTATTTTCCATGTATGGATGATGTGGGACAACTCATAAGTGATATTCTAACACGCCCCCTCATTTGTGAGTCCTT